GCCACTAAAATCACTGACAGGGTGTTGGCTTGTCCCTGACTATTTGTAAAGACATGAAAACATATATGTTTATTTTGCCTCCAGCTACCTACGTGTCTCAAATGATGGCGTAATAAAAATCATTGGAATTCATGCACAGGTAAGCATTGCCTCAAGGTGTAAATGTCTTTGCCATTGATCAATGACCACGATCTTCAGGAGTTTTTATCAGCGAGATAAATGCATTGCGGTCACTGCTGTATATTTAACAGAAGACTGACATTTACTGCAGCATACAAAGATAGCCCTTTCAGCATTACCTAAATCTGTTTGCAGTCTCTTCAACAACCAATCTGAATTTTAGTTTCCACTGAACACCTTATCCAGAAATGTTGTGTATTGCATCATTGATGTTGGCACAGCCTGCAGTGTGTGTGTATAATGATGTCACTTCTGTAGGCCTGATTATGTCAAAAAAAAGACAAAGTTCAAGGACGTTTTCCTTCAAACCCAAAAGGAATTTTTTCACAGCAACAGAAATCCAAGTTGGAAGTTGATAAATAGCTGTTTTCAATTTTGTCTCCAAAAACACACTGTAGATAATTGATCCTAATGATTTACCAATGCATCCTATGGAAATATCTCAGACTATTTTCTCTTCTGTTTCCCTTCCAACAAAAAAAATCCCTTCAATAGGCAATTTTTATGAAACAGTTCTCTGCATTGCTGTCCTTTTTGCCTTCACCACTGCAGTAGCCTATACTCTATTAAGTCATCTGGTTATTTTGGCCAGGTCCCAGCTCTCCAGTTTTAAATGGAAGCACAAAGCTGCAGATGCTGAAAATCTGAAATAAGAACAAACACTGCTGGAGAAACTCATCAGCTCTATACTGGATGTGGTATTAAAGGATGAGTGGAATAGATGGTGAGGATACCCAAAGCAAAAGACAAAAGGGAATGACAATGCTAAAATGTAAAATAGGTGTGAATGGTAGTTTTGAATACAAGAAAAAGCCATTTGTGCTGAGAACAAAGCAAAATATGCTGGATTGTGGTGGTGTGAAATCAAAACGGAGGACAGTGTTCATGTTCCAAAGTTGTTGAACTCAATGTTGAGTCCTAAAGGTTCTTGAGTAAGTCAGGGTGTCAGTGGGGAATGATCCTTACAGATTGCTGACAACGGAGAGAAGGAGGAAATGTGTTTGGTAGCATCCTGCTGAAAGTAACAGAAATGTCAAAAGGTGCTCCTTTGAATGTGGAGACTGGGTGGTATGAAAATTGTGGACAAGGGGGAACCGTGTCCTTGTTCTGGGAAGATGGTAAGGGTAGAAGAGTCAGATGTAGCTGAGGATAAGGAGAACATATTAGAGGCATCCCATGGAAGGTGGCATCATTGGAACAGATGTGGTAGAGATGGAGAAATAGAGAATGGCTTGGAGTCCTTGCAGGAAGTGTGTTAGGGTGTGTAGCCCAGTTTTAAAGTTTTATTTGATACAAATAAAGCTATCAGAAAACCCTTATCAATTTTCCTGATCTATTGTCTGACAGCTGCATTTAAAACAAATGTTGACCTAAAATCTGTTACAGATCTAAACAGATTAATACACTCAAAAGCATTCAAATCATTGTAATGTGTAATAGGACCTCAAGTTTTAAGAGTGTGTTGGAATATTCCTTTAACTATTGGAACAATTAGATCACAATCGCCTAATCTTTAAAGTATGCTGTTTTCCCAGCACGCGTTATGTTAGCTGATATTGGTGAAAATCTAAATCACTTGTGATCTAATCTGGCACATGGGAGGGCCAAATATTTCTCCATTCCCAACAACGTAAATTCCTGTTGGATCTACTGAGACCAAACCCCTGAGGTTAAATAATTAGTTTATGCATGTTGGGTTATGAAGAGTTTAATATTGTACTTATTAAGGCAGACAATGACTTGCACGCTGGAATGATTACAGTATTCTGAGGTGCTGCGGAGGAGTGTCTTGATTCTGGTTCCAGATCCAGCAGCATCTGTTCCGATAGCTTAGGCTGTAGTTTAAAATCAAAAACCAAACCTGCACAATAACATAAAAACAAGTGCCGGAGAAACTCAGCAGGTTTGGCAATATTAAATAGACCGTTGAGATTAGAAGTTTTTAAAATGCAAGCTGTGTACTAACAGATGGGAGAAAGTTGTCTTGCTGTTTAAATATGGTAATTATATGTAAATAAAAAAAGCTGCATCGTTCATTCCCAGTGACCTAAATTGCAAAACTGGCTTGCATCTGAGGCAATTGTTCATCCTCTTTAATGAAATACATGCCATTATGGACTTAAGTAGAAGTGAGATGACATGTTGGCGTCCTTTTATGGAGTGGTTTTATGCATGTTGTTATAATGCAGGAAGTATAGATCACCTGAAACTCTAAGTGTTTGGATGTGCTTATATACTACTTGCTTTTCTAATTTACATTTTGGATTACCAATCTTCAAATTGTCCAGTTACCTGGGAACTAAGGGATTATACACTTGCTGCTATATGCAAATTTGGATAAAAACCATAAAGGTATTAAAACAAATCTTAATAAATATTGGAAGATGATGAAGAACATGACTGAGCAGAGTGTTTGGAAGCCAGAAGTCATGAACAAATCTTCAGGTGTATGACAACATATTTGGAAAGTAAAGGTCAAGTTGCCATAGTCTTACTGACCACAGGGCTCCTGCCCATTAGAGAGAGAGGATTGATGGTGGCTTAGTCTGAGAATCACTACACTTCAGGTGAGGGGAGAGGTTGAGGAGAATCTTTCCTGGTCACTTCAGTAAAGTACCTTTTTAATGTAATAAAAAGTCCAAGTTGCTTCACAGGAACATTATAACAAAGTTGATACTCAGATGATATGTTGGGTCATATAACCAAAAGTTCAGTTAGAAATGTGTCAAGGAATATCATAAAGGTGACTGTGGCAGATGAAGGGAATTTCAGAACCAAGAGCTTAGACAACTGAAGATATTGCCTGCAATGGTGTCGTAATTGTAGGGACCAGGGAAGGAAGAGAAACTCACAGCACAATGGAAGATGTTCGTAATAAAAGCAAAAGTACTGGAAATCTGAAATAAACACACAATGTTGGAGAAACTCAACAGGTCTGGCAGAATCTGTGGAGAGTGAAACAGTTCATGTTTCTAACTCCTCTTCGGAAATGATATTTGTGGCTGCTGGGTAGTCATTTCAGCCCCAGGATATTACTGCGAGAATTCCTCAGTGTAGTGTCAGACATCTTCAGCTGCATAGTCAGATATGCAGCATGAGAACAGACCCTTCAGTCCAACTCATCCATCCCAACCAGATATCCAACATAAATCTTGTCCTGTTTGCCAGCATTTAGCCAATATCCCTCTAAAATCCTTCCTATTCATAGCCCCATCCAGATACCTTTTTAAATGTTGTAATTGTACCAGCCTCCACTTCCTCTGGCAGTTCATTCCATACACACAACACTCTGCGTGAAAAAGCTGTCCCTTAGCTCCCTTTTAAATCTTACCCCTCTCACTTAAGCCTATGCTGTCTAGTTTTGGACTCCCCTACCCTGGGGCAAATACCTTGACAATTCACCCTATCCATGCCCCTCATGATTTTCTGTGTGCCAAATAACTTTTACATCATACAAGTGCCAGATAGAACATCACCATCAAGAGTAAATCTAAGTAATGTTGTTTGACATTATCATTGCTGAATCCCCTGCTATTAACATTCTGGGGTTTACCATTAACCAGAAACTGAATTGGACTAGCCATAAAGTTACACAACAGGTCAGAGACTGCAGTCTAATGTTGGTCAGTGAACAAAGTAAACAGTGAATGCATCTTTGTGCAGGTAAAGATATTAGATCTAAAATTTACAGAGAATAAGATCATTCAGGAGTGTATTGGAATCGTCAAGTTTCAAGGTGATGAATGAGGACTTGAGCACCAGATAAGTGAGACAGGTGGAGTCGGCAATGTTATACAAGTGGGAACGGGCAGCCTTGGTGATGAGAGTCTAGGTAAGCGTTCGATGTGGCATCAAATGTGACAGTCACACACTGATTTAATATTAGCAGAGAGAGAACTGAAAGTGGTTACTGGAAAACGGCATTTGAATTGAAGACATAAAATGATGGCTCCATCTTCCCAACATTTACTTGGAAGAGATGTATACCTAACCAGTGCTGGATATTGGATAAGTGGTGCAGTAATTAAGCAACAGTGGAGTAGTTGAGAGAGGTGATTGGATGAAATTGGGTATTATCAATATATATTGGGCGGCACAGCCTCTCAGCCCCAGGCACCTGGGTTCAATTCCACCCTTGGGCAACTGTCTGTGTGAAGTTTGCACATTCATCCCATGTCTGCATGGGTTTCCTCTGGGTGCTCCGGTTTCCTCCCACAGTCCAAAGATGTGCAGGTTAGTTGGATTGGCCAGGCTAAGTTGCTGATAGTGTTCAGGGATTTGTAGATTAGGGGGATGGGTCTGGGTGGGATGCTTTGAGGGTCGGTGTAGACTTGATGGGCCAAAGGGCCTGTTTCCACACTGTAGGGATTCTATGATTCTATGGTATGTTTAAAAATAAAAACTTTTTAAATGAAGCTATTATAGAGATGCATGTAGACTTAAAATAGGAGGGGGATCAAAAATTGCATCTTGGTTGGAGGAGGGGAGGGGAGGGAAGGGTAAGGAAGGGAAGCCTGAGTGCCAGAGGTATTGTGAGACAGCAGGAAGATAAATCTTTGCGATTGTTCTGGTTGTGATGAGGTAGGTAAGAAAAGAACCCAGTAGGAGTGGTCCCACAGGATAGACGATAGTCCTGAGCTGTTGGAGGAGGATAATGAGGTTAACTGTCAAAGACTGAAGACAGCTTGACAAGGGTAAGGAGGGAGGGATAGTTTATCTTTGTCACAGCTACATCGTGATTTGTGACTAAGTATCATATTGGTACTGCTATAGGAGCTTTAACATGATTAAAGAGATGTAAACGTGAAGCTCTGGGCAAGATGAATAAAGACTTGGGAGGTGACAACATGCTTGTTGAGAATATTGGAGGTGGCATTGCAGTTTGCAAGGACAGCAGGGCCAGGGGTAAGGGGTGATGATACATTTAAAGGGAAAAGATACATCATCTAAAGAAAGAGAATCAGTAAATAAAGCTGCTAACATGGGAACAACAAGAGGAAGTGCTTGTCAGGGAATAGGGTTGCTGGTCAGGCTCTCATGGACAAGATGAGCACAGAAGGGGGTATGAAGTGAGATTGGGAAGAAACTAATGTTGCATTGGTGGGTTGGAACCCTGAAATACTGTATTTTTAGACCTTGATTCCAAAATGTGTATTTTTTAGAAGACTGATGGATTGAATAACTGCGGGTGTACATTTGATGGCTTGCTGTAAAATTCTGTGTGGAACTGATGGCATGTAACATTTAAAGTTTCAAAAAAACTGCGCACCAACTGTACCGTGATCTCTTGTGACAACGAAAGTAACAAGGGGCTGATGATTCCTGAGAATTATATCCTAAACTATAGGTACATTTGTGTATTTTTTTTCTTTGAGGAATCTACAAGGGCAAGGCTTAAAATACTAGTTTCAACTTTACTGGTGTGTGTTGATGGGACTGAACGTTCTTGTGTAAACCAGCCTGTGTTTAAGAGTTAGCAAATTGTGAAGAATTATCCCTAGTTACCCCTGTGTGGCAGTTACAGACACACTCTCACCGTGTTGCAAACAGTCAAAAAGGAAACAGGACAATGAAAGGAATCAGAACCATAATCTCAACCAATCTTCAGCTACCAATGTCAACATTGCCAATAATCTCGACCACACTGCTGCAAAGTTTAAACATCTCTTCATGAACAATTCGTGGACTGATTCTTTTATTTAAAACTTTGTTTTTGGACTCTTATTTCTAATCTGTATATGTAAGTTAACAGAAAAGGAGTTTATTAATTACTAAGAAAGCATGATTAAATTTTTCCTTTTAATTCCGGTTTATTTAGGAATAAATCAAAGATACCCAGAAAGGATGGGATTCTTTCAAAATTAACCTGTTGAGTCATACCAAGGGAGGGGGAAGATTGTGAATAGAGACATGGTGTGAGTTCATCCTTCCTCAGCCAGGAGCTTAATGAGTTGGGGTATACTGTCTGGAACCCTAATAAATTGGAGACCCTTATTCAGGGTCTGGGCATGTCAGAGAATAGTTAACCTCAGCCAGTTGAGCTTTGAGAGTAAGCTTGGCCAGAATATCAAGGGGAAGGGAAGTGTGCAGCAGAGACAGGAAATCAGGAGGGCTCAGTCTTAGAAATCTATGACCTTTTTGCACTTGTTGGAGGTGGGGGGAATGGGCATAAAAAAGATGGTTTGCAGTAGAGAACTTAAGTCATAGGTCTTTGTATCTCAAGGTGATCCTGAAATTGTTTAAATAGCAATTGACTGCAGAGCCCAATTGTGTTTTATCTGAATCTGGCAGTAGATGGCTGCCAAGTGTCTACTATATCAACAGACTGGGCATGAGGGCTGTAACAGGAGAATGGTTTCATTGGGGGCATGATATTAAAGGTACAGCTGAGTTGACGGAATCAGCCACAGAAAAGAACAGTGAGCCAAAAGATAGAGTTGACACACTGAAAATGCAATTCTCGAGGTTTTGTTTCATTGAATTGGTTGCTCTGTGGTTCTTTAGTAGCAACTCCTCTGGACTATCCCCGTCCCATTATGTTTATTAAATTTGGCCATCTTACTTCTGATAGTATCAGAAATCCTTCCTCACGGGAAGGGATTTTAATCTGTCTTGATCTGCATGGTATAGTAATACATCATGCAGTGTTCACAGCTAACCAATCATTAGTTGAGATGTGGGAAGTTTGTTTCCTTCTGGGTGATCTTATGTAACAACATGTTTAAAATTGATGCCAGGATCTCATTCCCATGTCTGTGTTGCTCATTGGCAGGACAGGATGTAAGAGGAAAGGCTATAAATATAGCTCACTCTTGTGCTACTTAGGATCATTGGAGGAGTGCTTTTCAAAATCCTCTCAAGCTTTCTGGAATAGTAATATCTTCACTTGACCAACTGGATGAAGGGGCTTTGTTCACTCAGTTTGCTGAGGTATGGTGCAGATTGATACCACAGCCCTGTACTGGCTGTGGGGTAGTTCATGGCAGCCTGACTTCTTGCCTTGCCCCATGTTTATTGCTTCTCTCCCTCACGGGCTTGCTGCCATTAGCTGTACTAATTACTTTGGTCATGACTATTTACCATACAGCACTGTTCTATTTGAAATGAAATCACTATTGTGAGTCTGCCTCTGTAGAATGAAATACCCCTTGAACAAAGCAGACCCTAATCCAATTCCAAAGTGTAATTTACCATTTGTCTAAAGTAGATTGGGAGAAAGGAGCAAGTCAACACTTTGGTAAATTTGTGGAGCAAAAAGGTAATGGCTGGCCAAGAATATAGAGTAACAAAAGCAGAAATTGCTGGAAAAGCTCAGCAGACCTGGCAACATCTGTGGAGAGAAATCAGAGTTAACGTTTTGGGTTAAGTGACCCTTGGAACTGATGGTAGTTAGGAATATGTCATTTTATATGCAGAAGACAGGGTGGCGGTAGGGATTAAGGAGTAAACAATAGGTGGAGAAAGAACCCAAAGAGAGAGAAGAACAGCTGGGCAGACAAAGCAGTTGATAATGATCTGGGTAGGAAGGTGAATAGCTATTAATGGGGACTGTTAGTGGTTAACGATGGGTTGTGTGTAATAGCATATTGCATGTAAACAAGGCCTGATGTGAGGGGCTTGGGATAAAGATATGGGAGAGAGATGAAGTCTTAAAGTTATTAAACTCTATATTGAGTCCAGAGGGTTGCAGGGTCCTCAAGTGGAATATGAGGTGCTGAGCTTGGAGCACTGCAGCAAGCCAGAGACAGGCATGTTGGTCAGAGAACAGGGTGGTGTGTTAAAGTGGCAAGCAACAGGCAGCTCAGGATCTTTTTTGCGAGCTGGTCACCCAGTCTATGCTTCATTTCCCCAATGTAGAGGAGACCACGTTGTGAGCAGCGAATGCAGTAGACTAGATTGTGGGAAGTGCAGGTAAAGTGTGCTTCACCTGAAAGGTATGTTTGGGCCCTTGGATGCTGAGGAGGGAGGAGGTAAATGGGCAGGTG